ATTCTTTTTGCTGGATGAGTACCTTGCAAGTTACAACCCTATCCACACTGTCATATCCGTTCACCTGAAGAAATGCTTAATCTCTTTTAGACTTTATTTCCTCTTGGGCATACAACAGCCTTCCTACCTGAATCTCTTTATACTATCCTGTCATCTTCCTGGAAGGAGTGAGGAAAACTACAAGATGTCTCCAAGTAGTCAGCCTCTGGACTGAGGTCTGAAACTCAAGCCTATCAAATATGAAACAACAATGCTACCCATTCAAGAACAGTATTCAGTATGGGAAAATCAGGTGAGACAACAGGTAATAAAGGACCACATTTAGCCATGCTGTGTTGCCCAGCATTTCATTTTCACTTGTCATTCGCACATGATAGGAACATAAACTTTCTGTAACCCTTGGCTAGTGTGCGATGGTTCTTAGCTGCTGATGTATAATTTGTTTCAGTTCTATCTTCCAAGTGGGCCATGCCATAGCTCAAACAGTTAGTCTCTGGCTTCCCACCGTGGCGGCCCGGGTTCGATCCCAGGTCTGGTCAAGTGAGATTTGTGGTGGACAAAGTGGCGCTGGGGCAGGTTTTCTCACAGTACTTTGGTTCCCCTGCTAATCTTCATTCCACCAATTGCTCCAGTCACCCTCACCTATCTGGGGCTGGTACAGTAGGCCAGTAGTGGCTGCAGTACAAGGAACTTAGTCCCACTCCACTAGCAATTAAAAAAAACTTCCATGTGCATATGTTCACAAACTACATAGGGTGATTCGGTGATATTCAGGCCACTCTAGTTTACATTACGTTTTGTGTTATATCTAACAAGCACAAATAGAAGTAAAAGACGTGGCTACTGTATTACAAAACTGATCACACAGTAACTTCCTTACCTTTCACCAGTGGTTATTACATCACCATGTTCTAGATGATGCTCATTTTCACCAATGGGGGCATTATTAACTTTAGTTGGATTGGTAGAGCTCAAGTTCTTCAGTATTGCCTGTAAACAGGAAGTGTGGTTTGGAAATGATGTCATGGTACAGTCACTGTACTATAAAAGACTGAAGTGAAGCTTATGAAGGATACAAAAGGTATTCCTCCATTCATGCAACAGTTGTGTTCCAAGTCCTACAGAATGTTAACATGCATTAATCAAACACAAGGAAATAATACTCTGAAGGTGCTGGTAGTAGAAGTGCAGTCACTCCAAATGTTGTGTTTCCCTTCAAATCTCTACTCTCCCATCCATACAATACTCTACAGCCCTTTCTCCCTGTCTGTCTTAATAGAACACAAGCAATTTACAATTACAAGCAGAGCTCTTAATTGAAATAACACTAATTCAGACGTGTATTCAAATGAAAACACCTTTATCAAAATCGCACGTAACAAGAAGTATCTGTGTTACACATTATTAAATATTTTTCTGGCACTGATGTAAAATCGTGCAAAAATTGAGACGTCTTCTGACCTCCATGTTAAGAGTATATGGCTGCTTTCTGAACGCTGTATGACACTGCAAGGCAACAATCAGTATCACAATGTAAAGTTGTACCTGTACTTACTTAATTAAGCACTATGCCATGAAGACATATGGGGTTGTAGATGTACAGATACAAATACTCTTGATCTCAGCACTACTGAGAGTTGAGTGGTCAGGTTCACACATCACCCATGTTATAATGGGCACAAAAGCCTGTGTATCCAATGGACAGGAGACTGGGTGGGCCACAGAACTGGTCTGGATGACATGAACAGGAGACAACTCTTGCCCCTACCAGGACTTGAAATCCAGCCCATGGCCAGTCACTACAGCAACTGCACTATCCCAGCTCCCCAGTGCCACATGAACGTCAAGATTTTACTTGATTTAATACGTATAAATTAAAAATTTATTACATATCCTTTACTGTATGGCCTACCAGACTGGCATGGGATATTAATGCCCACCTGTGAATCGCAATATTTGGATGCAAACATGCAGAGTCCAGCAGGACCAATGCTGCACTTTGTCAATACAAATACCACTACCCCTTCCCAAGCAAAAATCCAGCCATCAGCACCATGACAGCGAGGAATTTACAACAAATCCTCCAGTTCTACATAGCAACTAAAATAGAACTTACATATATTTTCAGTCAAAATTTACAAAAATTGCAAACTTTAAACACACAATAGTTAAAATTATTAAATGGAAGCACATTACAACAGTTGTGATCTTGCTGCCCTTAGGCCTTCTTACCGGCTGAAAATCTGATGTGTAAATCTTGCAATGCTCTTGAGAGACAGACTGCACATGAATTCTTATGTCATTTTGGAGCCCTCTTCCAACAGAACAGGTTGTTGTAGTAACAGGATAGACAGAACCATCCTTACCGTCACGTTTAATGATGATTAAATGGCCACGTGTTAGCATTGTGTGCAAGGGTAGGTCATACCAATGTGGTGGTGGCTGGTAGAATGTTGTGCTGTGGTAAAAATAAATGTTTTAATATATAAGACTAAACAAATACAGCAGCAACGAAAAGTGAATTCCAAAGAAGCCAACAGCTACTCAGCTAGCCAACAAATATCTGCATTTTATTGGGCCTGACAATTCATTACCATATTCATAAAAGCTTGCCACTAAGTCCCTCTCCTATCACAGATGAATGCAGTCCATGAACTCCCATGCTACTTTTTTCAGATCCATTTTAATATTATCTTTCCATTCATACCTGAGTAACCAAGGCAGTCAAAGTTTTTCTACAATAACACAACATACATTTCTCCTTTCCTCTGCATGCTACATGTCCCACCCATCACATCTTTCTTTATTTGATTATCCCAAAAACATCCAGTGGGGAACAAGTAAATTAGTAATATGCTTTCAATGATGATAGCTTGAATCCAATCACGTCTGCTGGCACAAATGAAATCAATACTAACATTACTAAACCGTACATCAAACCCTGAGATGGAAAAAACAAAAATGCAAATACCTACAGTTAAAGATTATTAACAAAAGGGTCATAGCAGTGTAATCTCTCCTAATCTTTTTCCTTTACCTGTTGCATGAAATTATAAAAAATGTTTACAATCTGTCTCCCATCATAATTTCTATACTTAAACTATTCAAACCATAGCGTTATCTCTCAAACATTTACCACATTCTAACACATCCAGATTCTTTGGCACTACCTTTATCAACACAGTATCAATTTCCAATATCTGTCCAAAATTCTGATTTTCTCCTAATTATTACGTTCTGACAATTCTATTCCATAAAACATCCCAGATACATTCTATTAAGGGTATGTTTACTTATATTTGGTAGTTTGTGTAAACATATATTTAAGGCTTACAAGGCTTGTTTACCTGCTGCCACACTGCCTGCTTTGAGCTGTACGATACCCCCGTGAACCCCAATAAACCTCATTCACACACCGCAACTTTCTCGGTTTCTCTTACAATCTTGTTATTCCTTCAAAGGATTCGAAGCTCTTAATAGAAGCAAAAATTGCTCCAAAAAGCAGATCATGGGTATATAAAAATCCTGCTATATACTATTTATTATTGGCATATTTGCTAAAACCGTCTATAAATATACTAAACACAAACTGAACGGGCATCTTCGTTTCATCCCTACCTGTTCTCTTACTTGTTACGCTTCACATTAAATATACACACGTTGTTATGATTCGATTTTTGTATTCATTTTTCTACAGCTACGCACACTAATCTACGTGATGAATAAAAAATAACCAGAAAGCAGCCTTTGTTACAAACCAAAAACAAAAGAAAGATATCAAATTTACTTTTAATGTTATGATTATCAACGCGGTAAAGGTGAGATAATGTTCACTCAACACTCGGAAAAGGAGACGGAAACACTAAATTACAAATATAATCGCAATGCACTTTTTAGTTTTTCAAAAAACCGAAAAGATAATTTTCACCGCATTTAACACACAACATAAGCCTCAGATAGCTTCACCTACATGCTCCCACGAAATTCAAATTTATATATTCATCCGCAATAACAAGTTCTACATATTTTTGTGTCAATATCGCTAAATAGAACTGATGTTGGATATTTAGTACTTGCGTAGTAATTACACGTATATTTTCATTCTTTATGTGTTATGTTGCGCCCTAATTTTAAATGTCTCTCTAAAGATCATAAAAAAAGTATATCGGAGTAATACAGCGTTCATTATCGCGTCCGTTATTCTATAATTTGATTGGTCTAAATCATATGTTGTGCTTTCGCGGTAACGCACGGTGTCAAGGTGGTCAAGGTAGTGGAAGTCGTACGCCGAGTTAAGTTCAAATCCTGCATTAATATATTACATGAATATTTGCAAGCCTCAAGCATTATGCTACCTACTGCTCGTTATAAATAAGTGGTACTTTAAGTCATTCTTTATATCGTAAAGTAGAGCAGTGACAAAGCCGGTGAATCTAGCTTGTGTGCCTATGTCAAAATGTTCACCTTGCTGTCAATTGGGAACAGTGACACCAATAGTGTTCAGAGAAAATATTCACTAGTATAAAATGCTAAGACTTATATTTGTAACTTTAATCTACAAATACCCCATGCTGAAAGGTGTAATTTCATTATGAGTTTTCATTTATGCAAATCTAGGGTACAAATTCTTAGGTAGTAAGTAATGAAAGCTGTTCGACGTATGTGGTTGGTATTATTAGTAATCAGGCAGCCATTTTGGTTTGAAGAGGGAGCGTTAGTGGATAAAGCGAATTTGTTTATTACGTGATAACTACAGTGGTTGCAGGTATGTTTCATATGTTCTCATGTGGAGTGGGGAGTTGGCAACAAAAAGAAGAATACCAAACGCCAACTTTACGCTTATGTTTCAGTAATGGGAAAAACGCCGAAGGAAAAACATGGGAATGAGAGGCGCAGGCCTTATAACTATCCAAGAAATGCCCAAGCTCAGACTCAGAAGTCTGGTACTGAAAGTCGGAACTACAGTTATCCGTCCGGGAATGTACAAAGGTACAGTAAACATGTTCATGTAATAAAATTAAATGCGGTCGAAGGAGGGTAAAGAGGAAAGTTGTTTGGCCTGTCCTCTCATAGCCTTTTGTGGTGTATTGTGTACTCGCCTGCGCACAGTGTATACACGATTTAAACACATTTTATAATAACATTTCATAAAACAAATGGTGATGATATGTTTTATAGTTCCATTTTCTTTTGTGCACCTGCTGTGAAGAGAGAATTTTGTACCTGCAAGTTTTGTTCTTACACAAGGATGTTGAAAATGCTGATGAAGTGTAGGTTTAACATCTTGGTTTGATTACCTCTATTTGATATCTTCTGTACTCAAAACTGGATGTAGGAAAACCAGAAAATCAGCTGCTTTCGTTGATTATATAATAATAAAGACTAAGATCTCCCTTTCAGAGCTATAGATGGTTTGTGGAAGTATAGAACTACATTCATTCTTTACTTTGTGTGACATGCAACAGATTTTTTTTGTGGTTAGCTATATATACCCTCACTTTCACATTACTCATCTCTGAACATCAGATGAACTGCCCCTCCTCAACTTGTGGAACCATAGAAAGGATAATGTGACAGTATGGAGCAAATAAGGAAGCAATATGTAAAAATGCAAGTAGTGTAATTGTAGGTGTAGAGTAAGATATATTCGATCTGTATATAAGCAGATGTACCAATTTAAATGTTTTCACATTATGTACTGCATAATCAGCAGGAAATTTAGTTCATTGCTTCAGAGGGTTACACTTCAGTGAGTTCAAAGAAAACAAATGCAGTATCCATAGTTAGAATATATAGCATGGACAGTGAAGCAGTATGACAGAAGGACCTGAGGTTTGCATGCGAGCTGTTGACTTGCAGACATAACACTGTCCAAGGTTTGCACTGTGTACATCAGCTAGAATTTCCATGTTTTGTAATACACCTTTCCAGTCATTCAGTTTCTTATTTTTCTCTCCTCCTTNTACTGTTATATATATATATATGTAGTCACTACACATTTTGCATTTTGTCTGCACAAAAGTAAATATTGATTGGTTTTTAAGGTAGATTTTTTTTTTGGCTTATAGATATTTCACCATTTTGTTACTGTTAGTGGGTGTCAAAGAGACACATGGCTTAATTGAATTCATTTATAACACTTATAAAATGGTAAGTGTACATTCACTTGTTTTTTGATGTAGGAGGCTCCCTGGGTACAATTTGCAGTATCAAGGAATACCTGTGCCAAGCCATCCGTATCGTTTTGGGGTAAGATAGTGTTCTGTCTGCATCTCTTTATGACATTAATACTACCTGTTGTTGGTTGGTAAAGTCTGACTACAGATATAAAACAGTGTTTAAAGCAGCCTTTCTTTGCTTATTAGTTCAGTAAGTAAAGACTACAATATTTATGTTTCAAGAATTAGGTTTTAAGTTATTTTTTATATGAAAATATATAAATATTTAGTTAAAACAAATGTTATGTTACTTGAGTAGTGATTGCTGGAATGTGACGCTGTGTAGTCTGGTAGAAGTTTATTTGGATATTGGAGGAACCGCCTCCATCTTTAGGGTTGAAGAGTAAGTGCAGCAGGCAGAGTAACTTTTCATGCTGATTGCTTGGCATACTCTTCAGTCCTGAAAATGGATGCTGTATGTTTTTTTGAAATGTTTGTAAACTTTGAGACTAAATGGTAGAATCTTCATAGTAGTCACATTGCTTTGTTTGTGTGCCGTGTCCATGTGTACAAAGACGTGCTGGTGTGCGTGCATTAAGTGATCCTAGATAAATTGTGATTTTTTAAATAAACTTTTGTGGTTCTTTTTTTCTATTATGTATTTAAGTAATCAGTTTTGTGTGCTTACAATATGCCATCATGAATCAGGATAGTTTTGTCACTAAAGTGACTGACCACAGGCTGGAGGTCTGGGGTTTGATTTTTGGCAGGGTTACTGTTTTTCGTTTCACCGCTACATCTGGAGTCCATGCATTATGCTATCCAGTGGGTATCAGGCACTCTTTCCAAGGAAGCAAAGCAGCTGGGGAATAAGTTAACCCTTTGACGTGGTCATTTAAATTCCGCGGCCGCGGCTCCTGCGGTAATATATTCAGCCGGCCATTTAAATTTTGCTCGAAAATTATTTATTCATCATTGTTCTTAAATTCTATGAGATAGGAACATGAAACTTTCACTAAAATGATCTTAAATGGTGGTTTTATAACCTTACCTTATAATATGGGCGCCCTGTATCTCGGCCATGGAAGCAGGTTGTTTAGTATTTCAGCAGTGAATGGTACGCCTTGAAGGATGAAACTTTCACTAAAATGATCTTAAATGGTGGTTTTATAACCTTACCTTATAATATG